ACGCAGCATCTGGGCAGGACATGGCCCTGGCCCCCCAAACTTACCCCTCAGCATTCACGGTGTCACAAAGGCAGAGGGTACCCCAAAAATATTCTAGGGGGAAGTCTCCTCCTGACATCAGCCAGTTTCCAGAGAGTCTGTTTCCAGTGTGGGGGTGCCCTCCCTGCCCTGGCGACACAAGCCGGCCAGAGCACCCTCGAGCTCCATGGCCCAGGTAGGTCATCGTGGGTGCATTTCCCAGGCCGAGATCTTCGCGGAGCTGGGAGAAGTGGTGAAGGGAGTGAAGCCAGCGCACTGTGAGAAGACCACGGTGTTCAAGTCCTTAGGTAAGGGCCCCTGCCCCCAGGGCACTCATGGAACCGAGCACAAGGCGGGTTTACCTGTAGGTGGGAGGAGGGATGAGTCACCCAGCTCCGTGGCTGACACGTTGTGAAATCCACCATTTGAGTCAATTATTTACATGTCTTACTGTAATGGTTAAGCCCGTGAACTCTGGAATGGGGCAGTCGTGGCTGGGATGCCCCTCTCAGCCTCTCTCTGACATGCACCCTTGGGCAACTGACCTCATGTCTCTGAGTCAGGGTTTCTCCACTACCTGTTAACCTTGCTATTTTTGTATTAAGTGAGATGTTCCTGCCAAAGGATTTGCATTCCGCAGGTGTCAGCTGTCTGTCATTTAGACTTGCTAGATCGAAATGAAACTCAGGAGAAGACATCCTCCAGAGGTGGGGGGTGGGGGATAAAAATGTTAAAAGGCGGGGGAGCTTAAGGGAAATGGCAGAGAGACCCAACAGGAGGGCAACCAGACTGGAAGCCTGAGGCCCCTTGTGACTCTCCTGCTTGCTGATTTCAGCAGGGGCTTCCCTGGAAGCCCCATTACGTGGCAGCCCCACTCCCCATTGCCATCGGAATAGGTACAGGCAGAAGCCCAGCAAAAAATGGGCGTGGCCTGCTCCAGCTCTCCCACCCCAGCAGATTTCAGGAAGTGACATATAACAGAGTTGATATTCAGCCAATATGCCTAAACTATTGAAACGCGCCCAAACGGGTCGGTCAATTAGCTGCTACCCTTCCGAATGCCCTCTGTCCTTCTCTAAAGTTCTTTCGTATTTCCTATGATCGAGCCCCCAAATTGCCAACTCAGCACCTACGCCGACTGGTCACTCTCTGTTGTCTTGCCGGCTGTTAAGTATTTTTAAAATCTCATGCATGGGGAGACAGGCCGAGGCAGTATAAACTCTTCCCCCAACCCTGTTTCAAAGACATCATGCCGCTTCGGCTGTGTCTGAAAGTTTCAGGGTTCACAGCGGATCGGAGGTCAGCCGAGCCCTTAAGGAGACAGAACACTCCAAAAATCTGCTCTACCCCTTTGAGCCGTTTTGGTGTTCTCGCTTTGGGGACTGGTGTATTGGCATGCCCTTTCATCTAGCAGACATGGATTAAATGTCTGTTTAATCCGTACTGGTTGCCATGGGGGCTACAAAAATTAATAAAACCCAGATCTGCCCTTTGAGAACACACACCTACCTATTTGAGGCTAAGGACAGTATCCGAAACAATGACAGAGTCGGGGTGGCTGATGGATGCTGGGTTTGGACTCGAGTGGGAGATAGCAGACTGGAAGCCTGGGGGCCAAACCCGGCCCACCACCTATTTCTAGGAATAGATTTTACATTTTCAAATGTTTGGGGGACAAAACAAAAACAAAAGGAGAATAAGATTCCATGATGTGTGAACGGTGCATGAAATCCAGACTTCAGTGTCCGTGAAGAAACTTTGATTGGCACATAGCCGGGTTCCTCTGTGGACCTACTTACTGTCCACATTGCTTCTGCATAATGGGGCAGAGGTGAGTGATTGTAAGAGACCACATGGCCCCCAAAGCCTAAAATAGTTACCCTCTGGCCCTTCACAGAAAGTTTTCTGACACCGAACTAAACTTGGACGGACACTTAAGGTTTGTCGGTGGGCACTTCTTGCTTGGTGTCATATTCCCTGCTATGCCCTGCCCTTCTCAGACCCTCCAAGCCCGAGCTCACCTGGATTCTCTATCAATCAGTCCTGTTACCCGGATGGGCGTTAGCAGCACGGACAGTGGATCAGGAAGTTGCCATTTCCCGGGGCCTGGGCTGTTTCAGGAAAAAGGTGTTGTGACAAAAAGTGAACCCCGTTTCTGTCCCTTCCAGGAATGGCAGTGGAAGACACGGTGGCAGCCAAGCTCGTGTACGATTCCTGGTCGTCGGGTAAATAAAATGAAGGAGGCGGATGCTGTGGTGCAAGGGGCGTTTCCGCCAGTTGTCTCATCATTTCTAGATCAAACGAGGGAGCCCCGTCCCCGGCGAGTGACAGTTTTGTGCGTATCACGTCTTACCTTAAAAAATGAGGTCCCCTGTTGTGTTTGGAAAGCAGAGCTGGGTGGCCGGCTGGCCGTTCGTTCCCCTGTTCTGCCTGATTACCGTTAGTGCTCCCTTTGCCCTGTATTTCACTAGCTTTTGTAATTCCTGGAAAATAAAGCATTTTCCAATTCTGCAGTTCTTGCTTCGGTAACTTCTATCCCTCGTGGCAAGGAAAGGGAGACCAAATGTTCCCATTCACTCCCTGGGGGACCTCCAAGGACTATGTTCTATTTTTTAAATGGAGGTACAATTTACGTGCCACAAAACTCACCAGTTTGAAGTGTACACTTCAGTGGTTTTTAGTGTCATCTCAGAGTTGTGCAACCACGACCACTGTCTAGTTCTAAAACAATTTCCATCACCCCAAAAAGAAACCCATGAGTAGTCACTCCCCACGCCCCCTTCTCCCCAGCCCCTGGCGACCACTAATCTACTTTCTCTCTCTGTGGCTTTGCCTCTTCTGGACATTTCATAGAAGGGGAATCACAGATTATGAAGCCTTTTGTTTCTGGCTTCTTATAACTAACGTTTGAAGGAACAGTGGAGCTTCTATATTGGTCAGGATTCCTTGGGTCACAAGTGGGAGAGACCACAACTCAAACTACATAAGGCTGAATGAGTAAATGAACAAGGAATGGAATGTATTGGCCCTTGTGACAAAGAAATACACAGGTAACTGGTTTCAGCGGCAGCTGCATCCAGAGGCGGCGAGGGTCAGCAGGCCCCTGTTTTGCTCGCCCCACCTCTTGGCTCTGTCTTCTTCTGTGTTGGCTCCATGATCAGGCAAATTCTCTGGTAATGGCAGGATGGTTGCCAGCAGCTCCTGAATCATAGTGTCTTCCGACAACTGCAGCAGAAATAGAGATTCTCTTCCTTAACAGTTAAAAGTCCCCGAACTGAGTCTCGCTGGAATATCATGGGCCCATCGCTGGGCCTACCGTCGTGGCTGAAAGAGACGGAATGGCCTGGCACAGGCTTACAGTGGAAGGCAGCCTGGCTCCCCTGACAGAAGGAGCAGCAGGGTTCCCAGGAGCGGGGACCCTTTCATTCTCCTCGTTTGTTCCCTGACAGATAAGACCCAAGCTAATGTTGACTGTTTTGTTAATACATTTTGAGCCAATCTTTGTGTCCATCGCAAAGATACAGTATTTACCCTTTAATTGGGACAAAAAGGAGATGTTCAGGGAATAATAGGTAAGCCGATGGCATCTACAAGCTGGGTTACCTTAATTAAAATAAAATGCAACTGTTCAAAAACATACAACTTAACTTCTAATAACCCATTCCTGCCTCACAGAGGTTTACATTATTTGCTGTGATTACGTTATACGCTGCAGTTATGTTTGGTCCCTTCTTTTGAACCCAGTAGCTTGATGGGATTTTTACGTGAGGTGTTAAAAATCACATGTCCTTCCCAGTCACGTGCCTTTATCTCTTCCCAGAATTGACATGAAGGTCAAGAGGTTGATCACGGTGAGAATTCCCAGGTTTGCCTGGGGCAAACATACCATCCCCTTCCCATATTTTCTGAGCCAGTCGCTACCCCTCCGGTAGGGCAGCATGGGAAATTCCAGCTAGAAACGGTCACCTCCCACAAAGCAGTCAAAACTAAACCTGGGAACACTGAGTGCCGCGAAGAACGTGTCCACTGGCCTGCTGTTTTTTTGTTCTCTCAAAGAGCTCCTTTTCCATTTCCGTAACACTGTATTGTATCCTTCAAGTAGGAGTATGGGTTCCAGGCTCAACATCTTTTGCACCCCCTCACACTGCCTCTTGTTTGCTAAAATACAGATTTTCTGTATTACTTTTACCTCTGACAGTGATTTACACAGCTCTACCGGAAAGCATCCTTTTGTCAACAACAGTACTTCCCTCGTGGCTTATCCTTCTCCTATATCCTAGCAACGCGCGTCCCATCAGGCCAATTCTGGGGAATACGTGGTGAGAGGCCCCTGGCACCTACAATAATGAAGCGCTAATAGGCTCAGTCACTACAAGCTCTTTGAGGGCATTCTACGTGCCAACTGCTTTCGTGTACATTACTGAAAGCAAATACAACTCCAGTTGATTCCAGAACAACCAAAAGTAAAATCTGTAAACATAACTGTCCTTTAGGGCAACGTATTCATTTGATGATGGACAACTTTTCTGGATCCAACTGTTGAGACAGAATGAACCAACCGCTTATCAGATTGGAGCGTCTGTTTCCCCCTAAGCTTACGTCCTCCATGGTGCCTGTTGCAATGACACAGATGTGAATCAGGGAGCGTGATGCTAAAGAGAAACAGCTGTATGGACATTATACACTGATTAATCAATGGTGAATTCCACTTGATATAAGTCTGGCCATTAAAACCCAGTGAAGCTTAGCTATCCAGTAGAGTTTTTATTTGAATCTGGGATTGCCACTCAAAAACTGTCAGCAGCTGGGGTGACCGGTTAGCTCAGTTGGTTACAGCGTGGTGCTGATAACACCAAGGTTGCTGGTTCGATCCCTGCATGGGCCACTGTGAGCTGCGCCCTCCTTAAAAGAGTCAACTATGCCATGGTAGCATGAAAGCAATGTGTCACCAATGACCATGTCTGCTCCCCAATAAAATAAAATTAAAAAAACAACAACTGTCAGCAGCAGTGTTGCCGATTTATACTGTAGAACCCACATGTGTTCAGACATACAGCAATGGTGGCAGACAACAGTTAATAAAAGACAGGTACATAATGAGCATGAAAATATAACATTAACTTTTACAATCAAAGTTGCCTTACAAAGAACCTCCATTTTTCTTTCTTTTTTAAGTTTCGGGAGGCACTTACCCTTAGAAAAATAATCAAATATGCCACTTTTTTTTTCCTCTCTCTGTTCTTCTTTACCTCCTCCCCGACCTCCCTGCGTAGGCACTCAATCAGTCTGCTCGGGCTTCCATAACAAAACACCACAGACTGGGTGGCTTAAACAACAGACATTTATTTTCTTTACAGCTCTGAAGGCTGGAAGTCCAAGATCAAGGTGTTGGCAGGTCTGGTTTCCCCTGAGGCCTCTCTCCTTGGCTGACAGCTGGCCACCTTCATTCTGTGTCCTGACATGGCCTTTTCTCTGTGCATATGCATCCCTGGTGTTGCGTCCTCTTATAAGGACCACAGTCAGGTGGGATTAGGGCCACATTCTCATGACCTCACTTAACCTCATTGCCTCTTTAATACAGCTCTTACCTCCAAATACAGTCACATTGGGAGTTAGGGCTTCGGTATATGAATTTGGGGGCAACATAATTCAGTCCAAAGCAGGTGCCCTGTGTTCCATCTCTCTTCTCTCTCCCTACCTGCCACTCTGTTCTCAGGCAGGGGTATTATGGACCCATTTCCATTACCGTGACTACCGTGAACATGTAAACATCTGTTAAAGGTTTAGACACTTTTAAGTTGGGCACCAAGTCTCGGGCCAGTGGAGGAACTCTCCTCTCCACCAACAGACAGGGTATAGAGCTAAGGACAGAACTGGAATTAGAATCCCCAGGCCACGAGAATCAGGGAGTAAGCAGCAGTGTGATGAGAGGTGATCATCTTAAATCCAGAGTTGGAAAAGCAAAGAGAGTTTTTTTTTCCTTTCTCTGTCATCCACTTAACCCTTTCTATATTCAAAAACATTAAAAGGATCATTGAAGAGGAACTCCATTTTTTTTTTAATGCCCAGGTTTCCTTGAGTTTCTCACTGGGGGGTTACTTAAATAGGTATAGAGACTTTCTCCAAGTAGAGCTTGGGCCTCTTTCATAAGTGGGCCTCTCCAAAACCCTGGACACCACTCCCGGTGGCCTGGCATCCGGTAGACAGCAGGCATTGCCTGGAGTGCTTCCGACAGGGGGAATGGCTTCACCCCACTGCTGCCAGCTCCCCCTGCTGACCCAACACAACCTCAGAGGCTGGTGTCGACCAGTGGCCCAGGCTGTAGGAGCGCCTGCTTCCTTCTGCTTGTGGCGTTGAGAACTTTCTTCCTGGGGCCCAGCTGCATTTGTATGCTCTGAAGGTCCTCGTCCGAGCAAAGCATCAGGGCTTCCAGGTCCATCTTCTCTCTCATGAAGAAGGGGAGGAATTCTTCCAGGTGATGGGACTGCAGGAACACTTCGAGGGGTGTGGCGTCCACGGCATCCTCCTCCCACTGCACTGCATCCTCATCCCAGGGCAGGCCGGCTTGATGGACCACGTCCTCTCCTTCTTCGTCGGCCTCGGTGTCGTCAGCCTGAGCCACTCCTTGCCTCTGAAGCAATTCACTGGACATTTTAAGCCCCAGCTCCCTCTTGCTGTCTGGGATGTATTCAGAGCTCGACATTCTGTTCCTTCTGAACACGATGTTGCCTAGACCCGGGCGTTTGAGAATGGATTCGTGCTGGGCACCGCTGTCCTCCTCCTGGCCAGAGAGCTGGAGCTTCTCTTTGATGTCCCCTGAGAGCACGTCTTCCTCCTCCTCCTCTTCCTCTTTGAACACTTCCATCACGTTCCTCTGCCCACCCCTGCTCTCCTTCTCTACATGCTCTGCTGTGTCTTTATTCTTCTTGAACTTGATCTTGAAGGTGTCTTTAATGCCCTTTGACAGCGACCCACGTATGCTGGTGGCAGAAGCGTTGGAAAGGGACGACCCGGGGAAAGGACCCTTGGCAGAAGAAAGAGTCCCAGCGTCCTCCTTGCTGTAGGTCCGTGCCATCTTGTGCTGGTGCTTCTCCTGGAGCCTCTCACACTCCTTGATCTGCCGTCTGGCATTCTTCTGAGCCTGCTCCTTCAGCCTGCTGACCTTCTTGGGGTTCATGATGTTCTGGGCGGTGGCGGCCTTATCCAGGAGAGCAACACATTCGTTCTGCTCTCTGCTGGCGGCAGCATCCAAAGGAGACCGTAGGTCGTTGTCCAGGGCAAAGATGTTGGCCCCGAAGTTGACCAGGAAGGAGACGCAGTGGGTGTGGCCATTGGAGGCCGCGTGATGTAGCGGAGTATTTCCCCAGATGTCACATCTGTCTGGATCGCCCCTGGAAGAGAACATATCAAAGAGACATGCTAATTTTTTTTTTCCTCTGAACGTGAGATCCAAAAAAAATAAAAATAAAGAAAGAACAAAATGCATGTTAAGTCTGCCTTGGCATTGTAGTAACTTCTCAAAGTCCAGATACCGTATTTGCCGGCGTATAAGACGACTGGGCGTATAAGACGACCCCCTAACATTTCCACTCAAAATACAGAGTTTGTTATATACTCGCCGTATAAGACTACCCCCTCTTCCGCACACCTTCCACACACCAAATAAAAGGTAAAACAATATCAGATTTGATTTCAACATTTATATTTATATTCAAATGCTTATGACATGCAGGAAAACTGTCACAAGGCTGTATGTAATCAAACATATACATAAATCGCGATTCGCGATTTTGCGCTATCATACTGGGTGTATGGTCGGCTGTGTGCGATTTTGCGAGTGTGGTAAAATCGCATAACAGCAAAATCGCATAACAGCCGAGCATACACCCAGCAGCGCTGCTGATGCCTGAACGGTATGTGGAATGAAGTGGGCGGGCATCGGGAGGCCACTATGGCACGGGGCAAGCACTATGGGCAGTCTATCTGAAGTGTACCTGGCGTATAAGACGACCCCCCACTTGGAGGCATATTTTTCAGGGCCAAAAAATCGTCTTATACGCTGGCAAATACGGTAAGTCAAAGCCAGACATCCAATAGTCAGAAACAGACAGAACCCATCTCTACCCTGGGTCTCGTTTTTCAAAGCAAGAAAAGATTTCCAAGAAAGTTCCCCAAAGAGTAACTGCCATGTCTCATTGTCCGGTATTGGGGTCATGTGCCTAAGAGGAGGAATCAAGAGCTATGATGTTTAATGCAGATTAACTGGAATTTTTTACTGACGGTACCAATAGGATTGGTGTACTGGTAAAAGTTTAACAACTGATCCCCCAGGAAAGCAAATCAAAGCCCTGATTTACAGCGCCTGCCAATTTCCATGATATAAATATACCTATCATGGCAAGTTTCAAGTTACTAAGGTGACATTACTGGACTTGGAGCTTGGAGGGCATGAGCCGTGGCACACCATTATAAATTATTCCCACCACATACGTGTAGATATAATAGACATGCATAATCTAACGAGCATAGATAATAGTACAGTAATTAGGAAGTGATGAGTTTTGAGTATTTTTAAATATAATTTATCAAATTATAAGTTTATATAACTTTATTTTTAATAATGGCTGTGTTTGGCTCTCCAACGTCCTGAAAATCCAGCAGTCATTCTCTCTTGAGCTAGTAAGAGCCGGTTCTAGCAAACCACTGCTACCCTCCCCTGAGTCACCTGCAGGCAAATAAACAACTGAACAAAACTGGGTCCCCGTCAGCAAGAAAGGAAAGAGGAATGGATGCCGGGTAGGTGGCAAACAGTGTCTGCTACAGTCATTACTTATACAAAGGGTAGAAGGTCTCTACTGATTCCTTGGCTTACTTCCATGTATAATAGTTAGTGTCCTATCTGAGATTAGTTCTGCAGTGATTGGAGGTGGAATCGGGGGCACCATTGGATGGTATTAAAGCCAGAGACCCATTCCTGGCACAGGAACAGGGGCATGGTAGGTGCTCAATAAAGATTTGTGGAATGAATGAATGCCTATTGGAACCCTTCCCCGGAGCCCCCACCCCCAACCAGGTCTTGAGTTACAAATAGGCATAAATGGAAAGTGAAGTAACAACTTATACTTAACTGCATGGCTCTGGCCCCAAGCCACTGCTGAGAACAATGATCGTACAGGTACTAAAGGACCCTCGCCCGGACTTCCTGAGTTAGAATCTGAAGTTTAACAAGAGCCTCAGGGATTGGCAGGCTCACTGCAGGTTGAGAAGAGTTAGGCTAGTTAAGGTGGTCCACCCACTGTCCACCCACTGGCTGAATCAGATTTGTAACCCCTCCACGGGAGCCTCTGGCCTCTTCATGCTCTTCCTTTATGAAGCATTTACACATTCATTGTCACCCCCTCCAACAACCATCACAACCTCCTTCTCAGAGAAGGAAGGTGAGAATAATTGTCAGAGGAGCAACGTAACTGATTTGCCTAGAGGCACAGAGGCTTCATCACACTGGGTCAGGCCTGTCTCCAAGGCCAATGGTCTCCAACACAATACAGTCTTCCGGTTACACCCTCAGCGTTTCCACTTCCCCAGGTATGAGGCCCCAAGCCTAACTTTTCTAAGACTCAGAATCCTCATCTGCAAATTGAGGATATTAGCTACTCATAGAATTGCGATACGAATAAGCTCACAGACATGAAGCAGGAGAAAAGTGAATTGAATTTTACATAGTGAAAATTCAATAAACATTCCCTATTGGGTTGTCGGAAGTCATGATGTTTTTTTCCTATGTTTTTTGTTGCAAAAATACGTCATGACTTCTCTGACAACCTAATATTATCATCTTTCTCTCTAAACTCATAGTCCTTAATTTCATACAGGATCTGACAAATTTGCGAACTTATTCCAACGATGTTGCTAACCTTTTTTGATATCAGAGGGATTATTCATTAGGGATTTGTACCAACTGGACAAACAGTTCACCGAGTTTACTATTTGGAAGTGCTGAAAAGGCGGCGTGAAACAGTTAGACGGCCTGAACTTTTCACCAATTCATGGCTCTTGCATCACGACAATGCACCAGCTCCCATGGCACTGTCTGTGAGGGAGTTTTTAGCCAGGAAACAAATCACTGTATTGGAACACCCTCCCTACTCACCTGATCTGGCCCCCAGTGACTTCTTTCTTTACCCAAGAATAAAGGAAATACTGAAAGGAAGACATTTTGATGACATTCAGGACATCAAGGGTAATGCGACGACAGCTCTGATGGACACTCCAGAAAAAGAGTTCCAACATTGCTTTGAAGGGTGGACTAGGTGCTGGCATTGGTGCATAGCTTCCCAAGGGGAGGACTTCGAAGGTGACCTGCAGTGATATCCAGTAGTGAAGTACGTAGGGCTTTTTCTAGGATGAGTTTGCGAACTTAACTGTCTGACCTCGTATATTTCTTTTTTCTCACACCCACCTAGTAAATTCCTGCAGCACTCCAAAAAGCCCTTGTGACTTTCTGACACCTGCAGTCTTTCTTAATTTGTCAAATATTTATGCGCTGTCTCCATAATTAGATACTAGGCCTCAGAGGGCAAAGCCTGTGTCTTTTTGCCCTTTGCATTATCTGTACCTCCTAGCAGAAGCCTCAAACTCAACCTAAGGAAGCCGGGCAGGCAATGCAAGTGACTGAGAGGGTCACAGTTAAAGGGCAAGCTTCATTTGGAAAGACTGGCTGTGGCTCAGCTGTGGCAGATTGCTACCTGGAACAACAGCGGACACAACACAGGACCAGCGCTCCCATTTTTTTCAAACAAAGCCAGACATCCAGGATTTCATGTGAAACTTTTTGATATTGAAATGTTGGCTCAAATTTAAAAGAAAAATACAGCGAAGCCCAAATGAAACATCCGTGGGCTAGAGGCAGCGCATAAGCTGGCAGTTGGCAACCTCCTCTGAGCAGAGAGAACAGCGTGAGCTGATGCACATGTGGGTGACATTCCATGGCATATTTGGGGAACCAGGAAATTACTTTAGCATGACCAGAGTGCATGGAGATGGGGCAAAGGAAATAAAAGTGCCAAGAGGAAGGGATGAGAATGAAACTGAATCTAAAGAAAGCAAATATCAAATAACACAGTTGTGTTGGGTGGCCACTTTCAAGAGAGCTCTCGTCTGTTAGCCTGACTTAATTGTCTCGGATCAAAGGAAACCTCTTTCAACCTTAATGCGGTTGTGTATCTTGGGGGAGCACAGTGTCTCACCCCCAAAGATGGAGTTTCACTTTATTTATTTTAACCAAACACCATATTCAAAAGACAACAAAGAAGGATTGTAAAGCATCCAAGACATTACTATAAACATAAACAAAAACATACTGATTAAATTTGCCTGAAATTATTCTTGGATTGGGTAAGTTAAAAGAGAAATTATTGAGAGGGGAGAGCTATGGTGGGGATGGTACAGCGTACTGAGAAATTGGAGTTAAATCTACACACTTCAGGCTGTAGAGCAGTAGAATTTTCCCATCTCCAGAGATCTTATATGACCCTTTCAAGATAGGAAGCAGACCATGAAGAAAACCTGAGATAACCCCAAAGATGGGTCTTCTTTTAAAAGAATTTCAAATGCAAAATTCCATATGTGCATATGAAACTGTCAGTAAGATGACTCATGAGTTTCCCTCGTGCATTTAAGCTATGTCCACTTGCAAGTCCACTTGCAAAAATTCTATTTATAGGCAACTTTCCAACTTAGATCAAAGAATTTTCTATTGCCAGGTTTCATGGGGTCCTTCCAAATTCAATCTTTGGTTTTTAATCCTTGGTGTCTTTCACATTTCTTGATAGAACCATTACACATAACCTGTATAGGCATTCACAAAACAGTCACACCTCATTGATCCTCGGAGTACAATATTGATCTTATATAGCTTCCTGGGGATCAATTCACTCTAGTGTTAATTATTTTTCCTATCCCCATCCCCCTTTTTTTTCCCCAAAAGAGAAACTCACTGAAAAGACTTTTAAATAACCATATTTTACCCTTGCTTTTTGGTAGACCAGTACATCTCGACAATCATTTTTAAAGCTGGATTGCTCTCATTGTTACTAAATAGGCAATTTGCTCATATCCATTTCAATTTCTCCTTTTGAAATTGATTTTTGTGTGTGAGAAGTTGTTCTCAGGAAAAAAAAATCATTCTTTCAAAAATGTGTTTCCACATAAGAAGGAATATTTAGGCTCGTGAATAATAAAATAAATACAAATGAAAGCGATGCACTATCATGCATTTGCCTATCAGATAGGCAATGATTAAAAAGAATAGTAATACTTGGTTTTGGCAGGAATGTGGGGAAATAAACAATGCTGGAGGAAGCGTACAGTGGTTCAAGTTTCCTGGCACAACGTGTACCAAAAACCTTGAAATCATGGCACCCTCTGGAATCAACAATTCTGCCTTTAGGAATTTATCCTAAAGAAACATCAGACCCTTGTGTAAAGATGAATGATCAAGGATGTTTGTCCCAATCTATTTATAACATAGACTGAATTCAAATTAAACATCATGAACAAACAACAGATTAAATAAATTATGATGAAACCATAAAATAGAATACAACATAGCCATTAAAATTAGTGGCATAGGTCTCTACTTTTAAGTGCAAATGATTCATGATATATTGTCGAATAATCAGAAGCAGGTTTCAGAAGAGCTTGTATAATATGATTGCCCTTTTAAAGGGGAAAAAGATACATGTGTGTGCATGTTCTCAAAGGGAAAAGCCTGGAAGGATATATAACCAAATATTAATGACTGTGAGAATTGACGTGATTTTCATTTTATTAAATATATCTTTCGAATAAGATGTAAAAAGTTAAAATAAGTATGTAGTCCTTTAAAAATCAGGGAGGAAGGAAATGTATTTCCATTTTAGAAAATGAAACAAAACTAAAAAAATTCATGCACAGTTTAAAGGCAAAATGAAATTTTGTGTAATTGGGGCCATCTTCCCAGTGGAGAATAACACATGTAATTGTTGCTGTCCACCTTTACATTGAAAAAAGAAAGAAAAGCAGTTTTTAACAAAGCCAGAGTTCAGATATTACTGGTTACCACATGATCCATGTTCTAAATCAGGTAGTTAATGACAGATAAACACTGAAATCATCAGGATGGAATAGACCTCAATGACTGATTAACTTCTAAATTTTTTAATTGGTTTTCCTTTTCAGCCTCCTTAAATCTAATTGGGAATTTGATATCACACAGATTCCTAAGGATTGGCTATGGTCAAAATGAAAGGTGACCTATAAAAACCCTCATGAGACATTTTGTCTTTTCAGCCTGTACCAGGCCCACTTAACACAACCGATCATAAATGCTTCTGGAGAGAAGGAAAGAAAACTTGAGATGTACTAGAATTGATCAGCAGAGAAGAGTTGATAGGGAAAGACTAGAAAAGGTAAGGTTAGAAGAATTTTTGTGCCTATCAGTGTTTAATGCATACATCTTAATGGACAGGATTTTGATATTGTATTGAAATTACTTTACCATGTCAAATAAACAAATGGGAAAAGGGCGAGCTATATAACAAATCGTGTTGGGATAAATGACTAACCACTTGGGGAAGGTATAGTTAGATCATAACCTCAAACCTTAAATCAAAATAAATGATACATGGGGCAGCCAGTTAGCTCAGGTGGTTCGAGCGCAGTGCTCACAACACCAAGGTTGCTGGTTTGATTTCCACATGTGCTGCTGAGCTGCGCCCTCCACAACACTGTTCCCCAATAAAAAAAATGTATAAAAAATAAAAAAGTAAATAATATATGAATTAAGTACTCAAAATACATACTTAATAAAATAAATAAAGCAAATGAGACTGAAAAAATGCTAAAGAAAATTTCAGTCAATATTTAGGCACGACCTCAAAGTTAGAATTATATAGTAAAATTAACAGGCTTAAGTATGTAAATACGTACTTAAAATATATACTTAAATATATTTATATTTTCATTTATATTTAAAATACCTATTGTCAAAAATAGGCATTGTGAAAATATTTGTAATATGACAAAAGACTGGTACCATAACTGTAAAAAGCATTTTTTTTTGGTGAATCAGTGAAAAATGTTGAAGACTCCAATAAAAAAGTGGGACAAGGTTATAAATACACAGTTCACAAAAGTAGAAATATGATGGCCACTAAACATAAAAAGAATTTTCAGCTTCACCAGTAACCAAAGAAAAGAACATTAAAGCCACATTGATACATCATTTTGGACCTATAATAATGACAGAAATAGATACTCAATTTCTGAAGAAAAAATTGTCAACACACACAAAAATCTTTAAATCGTGCACATACATGCCAACTGATCCAGAAATTTCACTTTGGAGAATTTATCCTCAAGAAAGTGTGAGCAAGGATTTATGTATAAAGATACTCATCACAGCACTGTTTAAATAATGGGAAAAAATACTATTTGTCCAAAAGAGAGTCACTAAAAAGTATACTTTTGACCAGAATAAGAAGTCCCTGAAAATTCAATTATAAAAGATTATATATATATATATATATATATGTATATATATATATATATATGAACATGGATTTTCATTATGTATTGAGAGGTTAAAAAAAAGCATGCTACCAAAAATGCCTACTTAGATGCTATTTGTGTATTTAAACACACAATATATATACATGTATGTATATATATTTATACACACTGTATATATTATATGTAAAACATACAACTGCTAACAGTATGGCATTATAGGATATTTTTCCTTTATAATTTGTGTGCATATATATGGTTTAATTTTCTGGGTTCAGCTTATGTTAAATTTGTCATAAATAAAGACCAGCAGAATAGTAAGTGTAAGATAATGTTTCAGACATACAAAGGACAGAGAGAGAGAGAGAGAGAGCGAGAGAGAGAGAGAGAGAGAGAGAGAGAGAGAGAGAGAGAGAGAGGAGAGAGAGAGAGAATGAATCTAGGAGTTGTCATATAAATTGAACATCAAAAACAAACAAACAACTAAGCAAAAAACAATTGGACACCAAAGGAAACAAGGGCTTTCAATGGTTTTGAAGTAACTGATGTTTTGCCCTTGGTACACAGGTGTTACACTTTGAGTAGATAAAGAAAGTTCGGGAGAAGACGACAGATGGCACAGTGTGACAACCTGGAGAAGGCTGACAGATGTGCTGGGGACAGGGCGTGGTGTTTGGGGAAAGGAAGTCAAATCAGACAAAAGGAGTGGAGAACACTGACTCCACTCACTGCCTCATTCAGCCTCAACTCAGAAACTCTCTCTACCACCTCTGCTTCTTCAAACTCTTCCTAAATCTCCCCCCACCACAACTTCAATAAAATGTGCCAACACCCACAAGCTGCCGAAGCCAGAAACGATAGCCTTGCCCCTCCTCTTCCTTTATCCAGCCGCCCACCCCAACATCCAGTCAATCATAATCAATTCTACACCCAAACTGCCACTCAACCCTGTCCACATCTCCCCATTCCCTCTGCCCTACCCTTGTCCAGTTCATTTCTCGTTTCGACCATTCAAACAGCCCCAGGCTTTCTCTCCGCCTGCTATACAGCAGCCTGAGCAAATATTGCAAACACAAATCTACCAGGTGGCTCGCCTGTGCAAACCCATGACAATGACTTCCCGTGCCCCTTGGATAAAGTTCAGCTCCTTAACAGAGTTACAAGGCTCTTGTGACCTGGTCTGGTCTCTTACATCGTGGCCTCCCCGCACCCAAGCCATGTCCAGCCATATTCAACTGCCTCAGTTCCCAGAATGCACAGGGCTCTCACTCGGAAAGACTGTTCCCTCCATCTTCATCTGGCCAAGTCCTCTCATCATTCAAACCCCAGCTTACGTGCTCCAGGAAGCCTTCCCTCACCTCCCAGATTAGGAGAGATGCCTATGTTATCTATCCAGTGCCCTCTGTTCCCTACTTGTAACACATACCATACACGATTTAATTTTGTCTTCCTCTCGCAAATCTGATCACCATGAGGACAATAATCATGTCCTTCCTGTTGACTGCAGCATCCCCAGTGGATAGCAAAATGGCGGGGACATTGCAGATATGTATAAATAAATATGTATTGAATTGAAATAAATTCACTTGGCTCCTTTATTTACTTTTTTTTCTTTCTTTACCCCTCTTGAGTTATATTATAGTTGCCAACATTGCCTAGCCCCTCTGGTAACAAGCAGAAGAAAAGAACCAACTCTAATAGCTCCTGCATTAGAATTTGTGTGGGGGGCAGGGGGTGGGGGGAGTGTGTGTGCCTGTATGTGTCTGACAGCCAGAGAGGTAAAGAAGTTACCTGAAGGTCCCTTTTATAGCTTGTAAAGCCAGCAGCTGCATCTAGGAATCAGGAACTTGCACTAGGATTATTATTAATAATAAAAGGCTGTGGAATTTTAATGGCATCAATGAAAAAATAAAATGAAAACACGTCGTTCGTTCCAATCAAGGTTGACATCCCAACCAAGTAGAACAATGGTCTGATTCAAATTTCATGGAAAGTATTTTTCAAGGCACATTATGAACATATCCTCCCCCACGAGGCAGATAACATGCCTTGGCGTTTGGGGTCTGTCCTCTGTGTGACTCACAAAGGTTCTCCGTGCCAAGGGAGCATCTCTAGGTAGCTGTCTCCCTTTCTCTAGAAAGGGCAACGTATTCCCACTGACTTCCCTGCCTCTTGCTGCTATCTGCCAAATGCGACTGCGGTTTCCAGTCGAAACCATCAGGGTGAACTTACCCTCTGCTGCAGATTATTTCTAGGGCTTCCAAGTTCCCATGGTAGGCTGCCAGCAGCGTGGGAGTCATGCCATCGTCATCAGAAAGGTTCAGGTCTCTCTTGGTAGCCTCCTTCAGAAGTTCCAGGTAGCTATCGCTGGCAGCTTGGTGGTAGCGAGTGGACATTTTTTCGGCTCACCAACGCTTGGCCAGGTATCACTCCCCAGGCCGAGCAGGGTGTCACTGGGGCAGCCTTCCTACAGAGCTGGTTAATCAGTGACAAAAAAAGAGTGTCACCCAGGGCAAAGCTCATTGCATTCTCCCTTCCATGGAACGCAGCCAGAAAAATTTACAGTACTGAACTTGGCCCTTTTCTTTCCAGAAGGGCCATGACATTGAATATGAGGACTGCTGTGTCCATCTTGAGAGTTTCGAGAGTTTAGTTTTTTTATGTCCGTGAACAATTCTTGACTGTTAGTAATATTAGTTATCTAGGCTCAGAACGTAGAAAATAATTTCCAAAAAATTCAGAACTAGTCTAGTTCCCTGGGGAGGTCTATTTTTAAAACTGTTTTACTGAGGTTTAATTTATATATGATGAAATTCACCCATTTCAAGTATATAATTCAATGATCATTAGTAAATGTATAGCGCTGCGTGATCACCACCATAATCCAATTTTAGGACATATCTATCACCCTCAAAATATCCCTCATGCTCATTTGTGGTCAATCCCCATTTTTACTCCCAACTCTGGAAACCACTAGTCTGTTTTCTATCTCCACAGTCTTGCTTTTCACGGGCATTTCATATAAATGGAATCATACAATATACATAATATTTTGTGTCTAGCTTTTTTTTTTAGCTTCACATAATTTTTTGAGGTTCATCCATGTTACAGTACTTTCTATGTATTGCTGAGTAACATTCTATTAAACTAACACACTTATTCATTCAACAGTTGATGGATGCTTGGATTGTTTCCACTTTTTGGTTTTATGAATAATGCTGCTATGAACATTTACATACAAGTCTTTGTGTGGACATGTATTTTCATGTCCAAAGAGTGGAATTGCTGGGTTGTATGGCAATTTATATTTAACTTTTTAATAAATTGCCAAACTGTCTTTCAAAGTGACAACCATTTCACATTCTCACCAACAACACGTGAAGGTTCAAATTTCTCCAAATCATTACAGCTCTTGTTATATTGTCTCTCTTTTTGTTGATGGCCATCCTTGTAGGTGTGAGATAGTATCAATGTGGTTTAAATTTGCATTTCCCTAATGACTAATGATGGTGAGCATGTTTTCAAGTGCTTATTAGCCATTCTTACATCTTATATTTAAATTCTTTGCCCACTTTTTCATTGGGTTGTGTGTCTTCTTACTATTGAGTTATAAGAGTTCTTTATATATTCTGGAGACAAAATCCTTTGTCACATATATGGAGAACTGAATGAAAATGAAAACATAAAATATCAAAATTTATAGGATGCAACTAAAACAGAGTTTGGGGGAAATTTTGCAGTTTGTCATGCCTGTATTAGAAAAGAAGGATCTCAAATCAATAACTTAAACTTCCACCTTCCAGAAAGGAGGAAAAGCATAGAAAAATTGATGTAAATAAAGAATACAATATATAAGTAAAAAATATGGTCCAAATCCATCTGTATTAAAGAAAATGTAAATGGACCAAATTCACCAATTAGAAGATTCAGCTGTATCTTATTTACAATAGATACATCTAAAATATAAAATAGCAGAAAGATTGAAAGCAAAAAAAAATAGAAGTTATATCAAGCAAATACTAATGAAAAATTGGTATATCAGACAAATATAGTTTAAACCCCCCAAAAATTAGTAGGGCTAAAGGGAGATAACGCACAACGATTAAAAGAAAAATTCATCAAGAAAATAGGATAATCATAATAAAAAATGTGAATGTACTTAATAACATAGCCTCAAAACAGAGAAAACAAAAATTAACGGAGTTTAAAGAGTCAGAGCAAATCCACAATCACAGTGGGAGATTCTTTTTTTCCACATATGATACCATTTTATAGCAAAAAAATAAAAAAAGCATCCCAAATATAGGATTTCGTAAACACTGGTAGGTGAACACGTGCAACTTTAAATACAAAGTAAAGAGGTAACATCTATAAGCCTTTTCCTTTAAGAGAAAACGTTATGTTGCCCTACAGACGCGGTCCCACCCTGGACACAAATGTGGCTCCATCTCCCATGAAGGTAATCAGGTGTGCCTCCTGAACTCACTATGCCCATTTCACAATTTCAAAATGGTGGCAAGAAGTGGGCATTGAATAAGTTACTAAAACCCCTTCTTAACTTTCTATTTTCACTCAATAAGAAAGGCTCCATGTCAACACATATCACACTTTGACCGTCTGAACAAAAGTCCCTATGCTGATTCTTTTACTTCCACAAGGGCCCGTTGGAACACGATTTGCAAATCTATCCATTTTTCCTGGGCTTATGCCACAGTATTTTCAAAGACCTGTATACATAGGATATCACACCATTCTCTTGCATTTCAGTTTAAAGTAACATTGGCTACTGCGTATTGTGTGTGCAGCAGATCCAGCTACGTTCTAGGTTCCTTACTCTTTTTGCTGTCATTCTTTCAGTCCCTCCCTCCACTGTGAAGAAACCATTAAGTGATCTCACCAAACACATTTTAATGCTATCTCCTTGCCCAGTACTCTGCGACTACTCAGTGGCAAATGTTTACTAACCAAGCATACGTGATACGATACAGACACAAACTCATATTCTAAGCACCAAGTTCAGGCTCATCTTGGCTTGCTGAGGTATCTCTGAGTAAGACAGCCTGGGTAAAACCATTTCTTTATGGAAATGTTTCTGTATAAACAGCCTGGCTTACTATTTAGACACTTAGCAAAAAAAACACCAAACCTGAGTCCCACCTTTCTTATTAGAAACACCTCTTGCCCAGATGGCCAGGAACTGACTTTGAAGGGAATGCCCACAACCCAGCGCTTATCCCTGTGAGAATTGAGAGGTCCTGCCATTGCAGAATGCCGCGGCCCTGGGAACCGAGTGGCTGTGGCTGAGGGGAGCCACCAAGTTACAGTGATGCTGAGCCCCAGGCTGGGAGGGCGTGGGGTACAGAAGAAACCTCTCTCTCCGTCAGAAGAAATTTGAGGGCCCAGCTTTCTCCTCAGTCACCACAGATTTACCTCCACAGATTTTCAACTTACTCAAGCCCCATGGAGTTGGGGTCAACAGCACGTTAACTCAATTTGGGGAAAAACAGATCTAGCTTTTGAAAGCCCGAGGAAATTAAGCATTTCCATAGAAAAAAAGGGTTAAGTATATGCCATACTTTCATACCTGGCCTTTTGCCTAAGCAAGGACTAATTAAATTAGCTTTAAGAGCAGTAGCCACAGTGTGTTTACACTTATTAAATGTTAACAAGACATAAGCTGCATAACAGAAGTTGTACATATCACCGGCTACACAAACAGTCGATGCAAATTTCCTTTGTGATGACATGGAAGTCAGCTAAAAAGTACAAAGGAAACACCATGAAAACAATGACCGGGGCTGGTCGGAGGCTAAGTGGGAATGAATGTAGTCCTGGGAAGGTTCAAGATTTGTTTCATAGAAAATAAAACTACCCTCTGGCTACAAAATAACCCTACATCTGGCCATCCTCCTTACAAAGGGATGCCAGTGGTCATCGGAAGAGCTCTGTAGGTTGGCGGTGGTTTGGTTTCACTCCTAGTACTTTTTCACAGTTAGGAACAGAACGCTGATTCCCACTGTGATGCTGATCCCATGCACAGAGCACACACTTCTTAGCATACTCTTCTTTTTTCAGGCCAGGGAAGAGCAGCTTTTGACACTCACCCATCTGATGTTACCTTTGGAGGACGGTCACCAGGGCAGTAATAAAACAGAATCAAATTCCGTTCTCAGTGGAATTTGAGAAAGCCAGTCATGTTCTTATCTTAAAGAACTTGGACGGAACTATGTGCCTCTTCGTAATCTGTGATGAGTACATTCTCTGGGTAGGTGATTGGAAGGCCGGCCTCTAACACGAAATGGGAGATACCCCATGCCACTCGCATCTGGCTCTAGGCCACACTGGGAGGGCTTACTATAGCCCTTAATGTGATATATCAATCAGACCAGAGATTAGTAAAATATAAAAGATTTGAACACAATGAACAAGTTTGATCAGTCATAGATGGAACCCTGCCCTCAACAGAAAATGCATGTGCTTTTCAAGCACACAGAGAATATTTATAAAAATTGCCCACCTAATAAAACCAGTGCAGGTCTCAACAAATACCAAGTAATAGGTTTCATGCAAACCATGTTCTCTGAGGACGCTACAATGAAATTAGAAACCCATCAACTTTACACAACTGATCAACTACACACACACACACTCACACACACACACACACACACACACGGTATTTTTTTATATAGTGTTCATCATCAAATACATACCATTTCACATTGTGTCTTTTCTCTCCTTAATCCACCAAAACATTTTCCTATATTGTTACAAAATCCTTAATATGCTTGGATAATAGCCCACTGAATTGAGGAAGTTCTATTTTCAAAACCTGTAACTGTTTATTCCTTATATTTTTTTTCCATGTCTTTATCCCAAGATAAGTTATTCACCTACTTGGAAACAGTGCAAAATTTCATCTGCAGTTTCCTCACAACAGCAATTAGCCCCAAGTGTCAACGTTTGTTCCTTTTCTGGTTTCTGTGAGGACATCAGTAGAAGCAGTCTGAAGGCAACATTATTTAGCTGCAAAAGAAATTTATTTTTAGTGGAGAGAGAGTGAAACATCCCAACATGATGGTGGGTACTTTGAGAATGAAATAATGTGGTTGCTCAATTCATTCTTGCATGAGCCACTTCCATTTAGGCTCAGTTGCACTCATGGGTTCACTCTGAAATAGAATATCATATATAACCTGAGAGGGGGCTTCTCAAAGATGGGTTTGTGGTAGAATGCTAAATGCCAACCAAACAAGGGTCTAAGTGCCAATCAAGCAGATGAAGATGATGGTGGTGATCATAATGATGAGAAGCAGAATGATGAGGATGAGGATGAAAGCACATGAGAATGAGGACAGAGCGATGACAGAGGGAAGGAAGGAGGTTGGAGATGGAGGAGAAGTTTCTCGGCTTCA